AATATCAAGTTGTTGGTTCCTTGTTTTGGGGAGCTTGTTTTATAATACATAAACATTTAAAACATTTTCTTGCCAACATGCCTCTCCTCGAGTATCTTTTCTAATGGTATTTTAGCCCCAATTTGGCTAGCAGGCAATGTTAACCCCCACTGTATTTAATATGCAAGGCTTGATATTAAAGCCCTGGTGAACTAATAGGGTTCATTTAAAGAAAACACCAAAGAAATGAGCTTTTTCTTACATATATTCAGTGAGATTTTGAAACACGATGTTCAGGAAACACAAGCAATTCCTGAAACTTTTCTCCCCTGGGTTATCCAGTCTGAGACAATTGATGACATTACATTGGTCGTTCATTGTAGATTCGTGGTGCCCACGAAAATCAATAGTTTTCCATTATCAGGTCCAGCTGGGTCACTAGTCTGTCAATGAGCTGTTACAATTGCTGTACAGGGGTGAGCCTGACCAGTCAATTGCTGCTGACAAGAGGAAAACATGCTGACAGCCACGGGAACAAGTCAGAACACAGATTTGCACTTCAGTTTGCCATCCAAAGAGACTCAGAGCAAGGCCATTTTCAAGACACAGGGCATACTCTATTGGAGGCCTGGGTGGAGAGTGGGGGGGGGGGGCGGGGAGGAGAGAAGGGGAGAGGGGAGAAGGGGGAGACGGGGTGCAACCCCCGTTTTTTATAGCACAAGTACCTAAGGCGTCTGTCCTGGCTCCAGCCAACCATCTCCTGTAGAGACTATCTCCACAAATGTGGAGGACAGCTCTGAAGTCTTAACGAGTGGTGTGGCCTCCTTAATTAGTAGAGGCTGAGAGCCAGCAGAGAGGGCACACACCGCCGTAGTCAATGCTTTGTCAGTAAGAGGGCACGCCCCAGCCAGAACTGTCCCTAAAATCGTCTATCTCACATTGTACCCAGAGGAGTAGGAGGAAAGAAGTCCACTTTTACTGTCACCGCCTCAGACATAACTGTACATATCTTGGAGAACATAAACACAAAAGAGGAAGTAAATGGGCCAAAGGCACCAAATATGAACAAATGTGAACAAACATAAGCATTGGCTGAAGAACAGGAGGTCCTCCGGTGCTGGTGTAGAGGCTGTTCCCTGTTGCCTGTTATTTATCGTCTTATCTGTACTTCTAAATCAACTTGGATATTTTACTAAATCAACGAGACCCCATTGCAGGCGCGCCTACAGCTGAGCTGGGAAACTGAGGTCTAGGCTTGCCCTGCACGTAATTAAGAGGTATGGAGCGGTGAGTTTGGACAAATGCCCTAACTGCCCCACCATAATAAAATGGAGATGTGCTTGCCTTACCTCTTATGTCACAGGTTGTCATGAGATTCAAAATGAGATCAATTGAGAAAGAGCTCTGTTCAAGCAAATGAGTGTGTGTGTGTGTGTGTGTGTGTGTGTGTGTGTGTATGTGTTCTTGATCTCTGAATCTCTGAAGCTATCCAGGCAGCAAGAAGTTTGGGAGCAACAGAAAGAAGTCCTTCTTTGTCTGGAACAATGCATTTTTGGTCTAGACCAGCGGTCGGCAAACTCATTAGTCAACAGAGCCAAATATCAACAATACAACCATTGAAATTTTTTTTGAGAGCCAATTTTTTTTAAACTTAAACTTCTTCTAATGCCACTTCTTCAAAATAGACTTGCCCAGGCCCTGGTATTTTGTGGAAGAGCCACACTCAAGGGGCCAAAGAGCCGCATGTGGCTCGCGTGCCGTGGTTTGCCTACCACTGGTCTAGGCTAATTGTTTTCCTCCTTTAGGTGAATCCAGGGATAATCTATCAAGTTTTCCATCATAATGAAAGCCAAATGTGGAGGACAGCTCTGAAGTCTGAACGGGTGGTGAGGCCTCCTTAGGTAGCAGAGGCTGAGAGCCAGCAGAGAGGGCACACCCTGCCGGCTCCTGTGTGCTGGGGACTTCCAGAGAACTCATCTCCACGTGCTCACTTCATATCAGATGTCAAACTCAAGAGCTCAAAAGGTAAATATTTGTAACTTGTTTTAATATTATGATTTTTAATGTTTCACTTGTATTAGTATCCTTCAAGTATTAAATTCTAGGCTCCCCCCCCCCCTTTTTTTTTAAATGCCTCCAGTCTTGGGTTTGATTTCATTTATGTTCCATCATCCAACAAAACTGGTAATCAACTCTGTTACTGGAAGCCAACTACTAGGATTTTTCTTCTTTTTTTTTTCTTGTTGCAATGCCCCAAAAAAGTAATTTTCTTTAAACGAGTAAAAAGGTAGTTTTAACAAGAGCAAATTTGCTAGTAATTGGATGAACCAGTCTTATGTCTTCCAGCACTTAGGAGCATGAAATTCATCAGAACTCTCATAGCATTAATTAAAGAGAATTTATGTTTTTTTAATAAAATGCTTCATGTTTTAGCTCCTTTATTCCTCCACCAAATGTGATTATGAGGGGGCTGAAGGGAATTCAGGTTAATATGTTGACACACTTAACAATGCAGGGTCATGTTGCACAATACGCTTCACTGGTTAGTTCAGCACACCCCCTGACAGGGCCCAATCATTCCCTGCCCTAAAGGCAGAGGGAAAGAGAGGATTTTAATTACTGTTCTGTATGCAAGTTTGCCAGCATTAAATTGAGACATAATTAGGCCTCTGAATTTTAATAATTGTCCTAGCTAATTGGGCAGACAAGTATGTTATGCAGCATGGTGTGATTAGATAATTAGTATTTCCAAATGACAAAACTGGGCTCTTGATTACAAATTCTACATGAAGGGGGAAAGAGGTAGCAAGCGGATCTTTACAAGTCTATTAAGGGAGAGTTTAGCGATGTTGGTAATTTGAAGTCCATTAGGAAGCCACATTTCATTCTCAGAGCTGGGGGCCTGGGACAAGGGCCTCCGGCCAACTCTGGCTCTCACTGAAGGCTCCTCCCCAGGGTGCTGTGCTCTCTTTGAGGTCTGCTGCCCCTATTCCCACCCCCTTCCTCCGAGCTTAGCAGTCACCACTGACCCTGGGTAAGGTCTCTTTGGCTAGACACCAGATGGCAGGTCATAACTCTAAAAAAGAAGTCATGGGATGTAGGAAGGGTAGAAGAGGTATTGTACCCTGGGTGTGGGTATAAGGATTTACAGTGTCTTTCCTTTGAAAACAGCTATTCTTTCATCCTTTTCCTAGAATTGACCACTTTCATGGTGGCATCAGCTCTACTAAAGTGAAAAATGTTAAATTTTGAAATACTATGATACTGGGGTGAAGAGCATGGGCATGGAGAACAACCTGTGTTTGCAATAATCACTTGCTGGGAGTCTGACTTTGGTTAAGCTACTTAATCTTGCCAAATCTCAGCTTTCTTATTGGTAAAACAAAGAGCCTTCCCCATAAGAATGCCGATAGGATTAAATAAAGCGATACATATAATTTAAAGCACAGTGTCTGGCATGAAATGCTCAATAAGTATTGTCCATTAAATGCAAATTAAGTAAATAATGTTAGAAAGTACAGTTTGAAGGTGCAGTTCCGGCTCTTTGTTACCCCCACATAGTCCAATGAGGCAAACGTCCAGAATCCCTTTGCTTTCGGAGGAACACGGTGCCCATGTATGCTGTGGGAGGCCCAATGTCAATAGCTACCCCTACAACTCAAATACCCACCATTTCCTTTCTCCTCATTCTTGCAGATAAGCCCTGCTGTGCAGAAAGCCTGGGAGTCGTAAGGCTCAGAAGTTTGTGGTGTAAACCTTGCATCCTACACCCCTCAACATACACACATACCTTGTGACTCACTCTCAACAAATATCACTTCATCGCCCACAGAGGTACACTTCTAGCTGCTAACCGCTTCTCAGATTCAGTCATCAGTAGGCTGGGCTCCAGAGCTATGTTTTTCAGGCAGAAAGAATATTAACTTGATACAAACAAGAAGCAATCTAAAAATGACTTATCGGTGGCTACTGGATGGCCATGTGATGCTGGTTCGTTAGGTGAAACTCAGGAGTTCTGGATGTATATTCATGACCACTTAGGGTAACTATAGGGATAGTTAGCAACTATAAGGATAACAGTAATGTCTCCATAGCCTGGTCCAGTCAAGACAGCCTACCAGACTGAGATAATTTCTTAGGACTGTCTCAGAACTTTGTGCCCTATCATTTAGGAAAGACGAAAGCATGTGGGAGAGATTCCAATGCAGAATGCACAATTCTCTCTGTGGGGAAACTTTATGTCACCCTGGCATAATCCTTACAGTACATAACACTCAAATAATAGAGAGAGGAAGGCAACACCCTGAGACCCAAGGAGGAAAGAAACTCAAGATTAAGTATAGAATGCAAACATTTTGCTAGAAGCTTAGAATCAAAGGGTACAGTATTATTCTCCAGGACGGGAATGAAAACAGTGAGTGATCCTTATGCTTGGTCTGTATTTACATAAATCTCTCCTCTTGGAGCTCCTACTTGTGTCCCTGTCGTTCACAGATACGCTGCTCTCTGCTCCTGGGGTCAAGACAGTCACTGCAGAGCTGGAGACAGGGCCCTTGGCCGGAGGGAGGGCGAGGTGACAGCTGTCATGGGGATTTTTTCCCCTGGTACGCAGTGCTGCTGCTTCTCTCCCGCTCTTTCTGAAGAAGTGCGTTTGTGACTGATCACTCAACACCTTGTTGGTTCTGAATGCAGAAAACACACCTTATAAATGTATGATAACCATTCTGTAATAGAGAGTGTGACAATTTACTTCGCAGCGCGTTTCGGGCTGCTAATTGATCGTTTCAGTCCAGGGACGATTCGGAATAAATTATAGCCATCAAAAGGATATCACAGCTCATTCTGGTGGAAAGATCTCCTCCCCGCGCGCGGCGTCGGTCTCCCGGAGAGACGACTGCACCCCGCGGGCAGAGGGGCGGGGAGGGAGCCGGCCGGAGAAAAGAAGGCCAGGGGGCGGGGCCGGGAAAGGGCGGGTCAGCGGGAAGGGCGGGGCCGACGGGAGGGGCGTGGCGAGGGCAGGCCAGGGGGCGGGGCCGGCGGCAGCGCCCGGGGCTGCAGGTCCGCGGCCGGACGGTAGAGGCCTCCCTTCCTAGGCGGCGGCGGCGGCGGCGGCGGCGGGGCGCTCCCCGCTGGGGCTCCTGAGCTCCCGCGTCCTGCGCCGCGAGGTCCGGGTCGGCGGCCCGGGGTGAGCGCTCCCCGCCCGCCCTCCGCCTCCCGCAGGTGGCAGCGCCCCCGCATCCGAGGTGAGAGTGTCCCCGGCGCCGGGCCTGCGGGGGGCGGGTGCTCAGCGCGCGGGGGTCCCAGCTCGCGCCGGAGGCTTCTCCGCGGGGCTTCCCCGCAGGAGCGCGGCGGCGGCTCCCGGAGCGCCAGGAGCGGGAGAGGCGTGTGTGTGTGTGTGTGTGTGTGTGTGTGTGTGCAGGTGGGAGCGGGGGGCCTCACGCCGCGAGTGGGGAGGCGGCTGGGGGACCCCGTCCCGGGCCCAGCCTTGCCGGCCGCAGACCCCGGGAGGCGAGGAGAGGCGAGGAGAGGCGGCGGGGGTCTCGCGGGGGGCGCGGGGCCTGAGAGCGGGGCCGGGAGGGACCCTCGAGTCGGGAGCCCGTGGGCCGGGCCCTGCCGCACCCGCAGCCCGCCTCGCCGCGGGGACCCGCGCGCCCTCCGTCCAGCCTCCTGCCTGGATGTCATTTCCCAGCGAAGCGTGTGCCGCTGCTGCGGGTGCGCGTGGGGAAGAGACCCAAAGACCTATTCCTGGATGGAATTCGAATTTGAAGGAAAAAAAATAGTTTTTTTTCTTACTTTGGTCGCGGGGACTTGCCTATCTGGCCTCCCCATCTGGTCCATGAGATCTCCGCCGCCCCCCCTTCTTCCCCCCATCTTCCCTTCTCTTCCGAAATGGGAGCTGAAAGGCGGAGGCCCTGCTCACGCACCGCACACCCTCCTCCCCGCGCGGGCCGCGGCTCCGCGTCCTCCGCTCCCGGCCCTCTGCCAGGCCCACACCCACCCCGTGCCCAACCAGGCGCGGCTGTCCGTGCAGGCCGTTTTGACAGCGACGCCCATGCCAAGCCGTTAGGAAGTGCAATGTCAGTGCGTCCTGGAGGACGGGTAATGCACAGGCCACCGCTGGACACGCTATCTTGCAAGGAAACGTCTGAGACCGTCTGCAAGAAGCACTTTTAATCCACACACCAAGAAGTATTTTGTGATTGGTGGACATCTTTCCAAAACGCTGAAAGAGGGAGTAGCATTTGTCACGTTGCTCACCAAAGCCCCCGTAGGATGGAGGAGGGTTTTGTTTTATTCCTGTTCTTTCTTATAAACCGAGGAGCAGAAATGTTATGTGACCCCGACAAATAGTCCATCATAAGTCAGCGAGAGAATTCTATGTATGAAACCATACAATCTAAAAACTGGAATAATTGAAAAAAGTGAGGAAACGAGATGGTGAGAGAGAAGTCCTCTGCTAGTTCAAATGAGAGGCCATATGCTTTTAGCACAAGTGCTGAACGTATAAAAGGACCAGTTTATCTGAGGAATGGAAGTCAGGTAAATTTTCTGTAAAACGCCAGTCTTAATGACTACTACTTACTCATGGCTATTAAAAACTAATTATATCAAGAATCACTTGAAACAAGTGATTAGGTTCAAAAGTATGGCTAGGGCCCTAATGAATGGATTCTGAAATCTAAAGCAATCCAAATCTAAGTGAATGCTTTAAAGTTGGTATTATATAATAGGTTTGATTTACACAGACCAAATCCTGTTAGTTTTACAGTGGACTCTGTGTTGACCCTTGATATGGTTTTCTTTTCCTCCATTTATTAGTAAGTACTTATTCCTTACCTATTAAGGTCCTCCACTTTCCTTTGACATTGAACATGACCCCTGTAGGCATTTAATAAATAGTTGTTAAAATGTAACTAAAACATGTATACCCTCTAACTCCAAGAAACTCAAGGAGTGGTATTATGAAAGAGTTAAAGACTGTGGCATTTCATTTGTACAAATGGAAAGTTGTTGGCTACTCTCAAGTAGTAAGTCAAGTGGAGAAAATAAATTAGAAGTCAGAAAGCGTTCCCCACACTGTACCCTATTCACAGTACTGTGTGTTTTCTCTTAAAAAAATGTACAACAAAGTTTTGAAGGACTTGCATGACTGAAGAGATTTGTGACATTCTTTTAATTATTTTAGAATGTAAAGTTTACATGAAAAGGTTTACCTCTTTATATGGTATGCTAGACTCTGGTTTTATGTGAGTGAAAGCACCATTTTTTTTAGTTAAAATCAAAACCACATATCCTCACCCCTTCTCCCCCCACCCAACCTGAAATAATAATTGCCTGCAATTAAGAGAAGCAAACAAAACACATCCCAAGTAGTAACAAATTCACTGGATTAAACTGCATTGTTTTAACTAAAATAGAAAAACAGACCATGTGTATATCCCAATTACTTGTAGTTTTAATTTTTCTTGGATAATTCTTGAAGTCATTCACAACAATGCCAAGATCCTTGAATAAAGACATTTTTGTGTGAAATCTATAAAATGGATCTAAAGAATATAAAATTCTGTGAAGTATAATAAGAGAAGCCAAGATGTTAAGCATAATTTTATCCTTAACCCTCAAAATGTGCTGTAGGGCTGAAACTATGTGATCATGACTAGGACTAACAGTCAACTATAACAGAACATAAACTTTTAACAACTGTATTTTAACAACTATACCAGGACTTACATGTACATTTCAGCGTATCCTTATCCAACCTGCCATCTTGGAAGGCTGCCACTTACTGCATGGTACTTCCATTACTGCCATTGCTCAGACCTATTTTGGAGCTCTTTTTTGAATCCTGTTTTCAGAACCCACAGCACAGCTTGTTAAAAAGCCCTGTAGATGGTAAGTTGTCTTCCTTTGAAGACCTTCAGTCTCCTGAAGAGTAAGGTGGGTGATCAAGGCATGTTAATATAATTGGGGTCAAAACAATTGGAAATACATTAGATAACTTTCTAAAGTCATTATACAAACATAGTTTGAATGATGGCAGCACCATTGGAATAAAGATACCAATGAATAGCTTTAAGAATAGTACTCATTTGGAGTTATACATTCTTTGATTGTCAATGAATTACCATATTTTTTGGACCATAAGATGCTCCGGACCATAAGACGCACCAGTTTTTAGAGAAGGGAAGTGAAGAAAAAAAGATTCTGAAACAAATAGTGTCCTAAAATATTTTATGTGCATTAAAACCCAACATCACAGTCATAAACACATGTAATCAACCCTGTAAAGTAAACAGCAGCATTTAGAACCATTTTAGAGCCGGGGAGACCACACAGAGCCGGGCAAGTAAAAAAACTTTTTTTTTAAAGTATATGTGTAGGCTATATTTGGACCATAAGACGCAGGTACTTTTCCCCCCCACTTCTGGGGGGAAAAAAGTGCGTCTTATGGTCCGAAAAATACGGTACTATTTAACCATCATATATACATATAGTACATTGGTGTGCAGTAGAGACATTACTTCAGGAAGTTATATTGTCAAGAATTTTATCAATCTGGATTTTATGAGAGTTCACTTTTGCTACTGTGATTACAAGCTAAGATCTAAATATGGAATTGGATAGGAGAAATTCAAGATGTCATGGGCTAAAATCAGGATTGTCCTATGTAGTTCTACAGACTTGGCGCTCCACATTCTTTGAAGTATAAGAGAATCACACTCAATTAAGAAATCAGACTTAACTTGTATTTTATTTAGTGAGCAAGGCACTGGCCATTACAAAAAATCTCAGTAATCCTTAGACTGTAGATGAAGTCTAACCTGTGGGATAAAACACTTCCCGTTTTAGTAGTTGGTTGTGAATATGGACCCTAAAGTAGATATGTAGTAGAACCACTGCGTACGGCTTTAAGTTAGCAATATGCTATCTACTATACAAAATACAGAATCATGAAATTCCTCATCAACTGAGTTTGAACTCTTTATTATATTCAAGAATAGACTATGGGAAAGGAAAAGAGAGAGTGGGAGAGGGAGAAAAGTAGGTCATGAGGCTTTTGAATCATAATTATTTGAATTAACTTGAGGGAAGAGTTTACAAGAGCTTCCCAGAAACCACCAGCAAACAATTTAAAATCTGAGGAAATAGGGATGGCTCAGTGGTTGAGCGTTAATCTATGAACCAGAGGTCATGGCATAAACCTGGGTTGTAAACTGTTAATCTGTGATTCTAGGTCAGGGCATAAGCCTGGGTTGTAGGCTCCATCACCAGTAGGGGGCGTGCAGAAGACAGCCAATCATTGATTCTCTCTCATCATTGATGTTTCTATCTCCCTTCCTCTGAAATAAAAATATATATATTTTAAAATGATAATAAGAGCTGAGGAAATAATTCAACTCCAACTAAGACTACATGGAGAACCAAGAAAAGCATATAGAATGTAATTAGCCAAGTAGGAAAATTTCTAAGAGTTCAAATCTAATATCTTTAGTATAATATAGAAGGTTGGGATCATTAGTGATTAGCTGGGATCCAGACCATAATGACCAGGAGAGAGCAAGACCAGCAGATAAAGAGAAAAGACCTTGCTTAAATGGAATGTTGGAGATGCTGATGCACTTATAGGGAAGGTCAGCCAGCAAGAAATAGAGCAACTTCACAAAGCAACAAATATATGTATGTCTTTCACCCCAGAGTTAGACAAAAGGAGATTAGTCAAATTTTAGCTGAGAGAGAAAAAAATGTCCTCGCCGTGGCTGGTGTTGTTCAGTGGATAGAGTGTCAGACTGCACACCAAAGGTCATGGGTTCAATGCCTGGTTAAGGGCATGTACCTGGCTGCGACCGGTTTGGCTCAATGGAGTGTGTTGGCCTGCGGACTGAAAGGTCCTGGGTTTGATTCCTGTCTATGGCATGTACCTTGGTTGAGGGCACATCCCCAGTAGGGGGTGTGCAAGAGGCAGCTGATCAATGATTCTCTCTCATCGATGTTTCTAACTCTCTATCCCTCTCTCTTCCTTTCTCTGAAAAGTCAATAAAATATATTAAAAAAAAAAAAAAAAAAAAAAGGGGCATGTACCTGGGTTGCAGGTTTGGTTGGAATGTATACGGGAGGCAACCAGTAAATGACTCTCTCATATTGATGTTTATTTCTCTCTTTCCTCCCTCCCTCTATTCCACTTTCTTTAAAAATTAATGGAAAAATATCCTTGGATGAGGATGGGCAAAAAAGAAGAAGAAAG